AAATTGGACCGAGCTGGGTAATGGGCCGATGATGGGCCACAATACGAAAGGCTGTGTGAAAGGGCTTTTATGTTAGTCTGGTCCTAGAACCTTGGTAATTGGTCCGGTCCCAGAAAGCCCTAAAGTTAGGCCGGTCCAAGGAGAATGTCGTTATATCGGTCAGAGATTATACATATAGCTCGGTCGCCAAAGTTGGACCGGCCATGGCATGGTACAGATAGTTCGGTCAAACCTAGCTAATGGTTAAACACGGACTAAGCAAATACTATGCGTAGCACGGTTTGTATAGGAAGAACCGGAGTAAGAGCAGTAAAAGGAGGAGCCGAACTAAGGATAGTTTGGTCCATTCTTCAGCATAGCATAGCCTTGCTTACCTCGGTCATATTGGAATCCGGCCGTGGTAAAGCCATCTCACTTGGTTTAAGCAGTGAGGGGGGTGTTGAAAGATAAGCATTATCTTTCAGGAATATGAATCCTAGGAGGACTCTACATGGAGGAGTAAGAGTCCTACTTGGATTGTGCAACACGGAACCTATAAAAGCTCACAAACATCACCTACGGAGAGGTAACACAACTTTGATTCCTGAATACGCAGAGCTTTTGTCTATTTGTCTATTTTACTGACTTAGGCATCGGAGAGGTATCCGGCACACACCCGCCGGCTAGCTCACGTTTGTGTTTTCAGGGAGTAAAGCGACGACGTACAGAGGAGCGCAGACTTGATCAACAGGATTATACGAGAAGGTTTATTTCTTTCCCGTACAATATAGATAGAAAAATGATATTATTATCTCTTTTACTCTGAAGTGTATATTTTAGCTTATATATCCTTATATATTCACAATCTGCATTGGTTTTAGATCTTTTAGCCTTATTAAAAGAGAGTAGGGGTAATTATGCCAAAATTGTTAGACTTGCTATATTTTCTCTAAAATTTAAGAAAGATCAGTGTAATTTACCCATATTTTTATATGAAAAACTTATATAAAATTATATGAGAATGACATTGTTATAATTGTGACCTATGGGGATAGACTTTTTACTTTGAGATATATAAACTTCGATTATATAACATTACCTAAATAGGATTTTAATGAATAAATCTGCAAAAGCAATATTCATAGTAAATGCTGACATTCAAATTGGAAATTTCAAAATAAATAGGGAAAAAAAATCATAAAATACCATGAAAATTATCAAATTATTGAAAATAAATATAAGCATCAATAATAAAATATTGAAAATACTTACAGAGGTGTAGGTATTTCTATAAGTCTTTTGAGTTTTTTTTTTTTTGAAAGCACTATTATTCTGAATAATAATTCAAATCTTGAACATAGTCTCTTTCTCTTTACTATTTTACCATAAAATAGACTTAAATTCGGGCCATCTTTCATGATTGTCCTCTTGATTTCTCTTTTGCAAGTTACAAATGTGTGCATTAAGATCACAAAGAAAACAATAGGTAAGTTATAACGAAAAATGTTATATGCAATCTTTTTTTTCTTTTTTCTTTTTTTGGCTATTATTTTTGTATCATCATTTATGTGGATATTTATTATTGATTCTTAAACATTAAGAAAATAACAATATAAATAATCTAATATCATGTATTCAGTGATATTGCCAACCCTCTTGTGTGTGTGTTGATGTGATTCTCCATTATAATTTCAAGAACCCGATCAACCTTTACAAAAGAGAGAAAGATATATCAAGAACCATGGTTTTTTCCTCCATCCCAGCTTATCTTGATCTATCCAACTGGCAACAGGTTAGGGTTTTTTCTTCAATATATGTTTTTCAATCCATGGCTTCTTTGCCAATAAAGCACCAAAAAAGAGAAGAAAAAAAAATTATATTCCTCCCCCTTTTCTTTGTCTCCTCTTCTTTATTTTTCACCATATCTTTTCTTGAATATACTTTTCATTCTTGCTTTTTTGTTTTCGTTTTTTGTTTTGTTTTTGTTTCACAGCAGCAACAAAATCCTCAAATTGGAACTGGTAGTGGAAATGGAAACCCTCATCTTCCACCACTTCCGCTGCCACCACCACCACACCAGGGTGATGGTTCGGGCTCAGTCAGGCCTGGTTCGGTGGCTGAATGGGCCCGAATGGCGAACATACCCATGCCAGAAGCTGCCCTAAAATGCCCGAGATGTGAATCAACAAACACAAAGTTTTGCTACTTCAACAACTACAGCCTCACTCAGCCTCGACACTTTTGCAAGACTTGCCGGAGGTACCGGACGAGAGGCGGTGCTCTGAGAAGCGTTCTTGTGGGGAGTGGTTGTCGGAGAAACAAGAGAAGCAAAGGAAGTAACAACTCGAAATCTCTGGTCAGCGGTGGCAGTGGTGATGGGCAAACTAGTAGTGGTTCAAGAAGTGCAATCTCATCTTCTACTAGTGTTGGAACAGCCAGTTTATTAGGTCTCACACCACAAATTCCACCACTCCGGTTCATGGCAGTTCCACTGAGTCAACTCACTGATCATCATCATCATCACTACGGGGAAATCGGGTTGAATTACAGTGGAATTTTAGCTCCTTTGGTGGTTACAAGTGACATGAACATGAATTTCCACCTTGGAAGTAGTTCCCTTGGTCTCGGTGGCGGTGGTGGCGGTGGCAGTGGAATCGAGCACTGGCGGTTGCTACAACCAACTCAGATTTCCACGATGGCGGGCTTGGATTTTTCGGGTGTTTTGTACCCATTTCAAGGTGGTGTAGAGCCCTCTGGCTATGGTGGTGAAGGTAGTCAGGTTCAGCCAAGCCCGCCGGGTTTAGGGTTTACTACTCATCAACTCGGTTTAGTGAAAATGGAAGACAATCAGGTTCAAGAGTTGAATTTGTCAAGGCAGTTTTTGGGAATTCCAAGAAATGACCAGTATTGGAGTGGTTCTAGTTCAGCTTGGACTGACCTTTCTGGGTTTAGCTCATCTTCCACTAGGAATCCCCAATGATTAAGTTCTCTATCTATCTTGTGATCCCCAAAGTGAAGCTTAGTTTTCTCAGAAAAGTGAAATGAACGTTTCATACTTAGTCATAGCTTGGGAGTTTTGAATTTAGTTGGCCAAGATGGAGGATTTTCAGGATGGACTAAGGACTTTGTCTCAAAAAGTTTGTCTGAAAACCCTAGATAGTATTTCATGCTTTCAATATTTTTTTTTTGGGTTTAATTTTATTTTATTTTGTTTGCGTCTGAGCATGTTTACATAGATGAATGTATGAGTTGTAGTAGTTTCTATATTGGAGTTTTTTTTTTCTTTTTTCTTTTTGTTGAAGTCCTAATTTTCATAAATGATCAATATCATTGGGCTGAATGTTTTCTATGGAATTCTGTGCTGTGGTGGCGGTGGCAGTGGAATCGAGCACTGGCGGTTGCTACAACCAACTCAGATTTCCACGATGGCGGGCTTGGATTTTTCGGGTGTTTTGTACCCATTTCAAGGTGGTGTAGAGCCCTCTGGCTATGGTGGTGAAGGTAGTCAGGTTCAGCCAAAGCCGCCGGGTTTAGGGTTTACTACTCATCAACTCGGTTCAGTGAAAATGGAAGACAATCAGGTTCAGGAGTTGAATTTGTCAAGGCCGTTTCTGGGAATTCCAAGAAATGACCAGTATTGGAGTGGTTCTAGTTCTGATTGGATTGACCTTTCTGGGTTTAGCTCATCTTCCACTAGGAATCCCCTGTGATTAAGTTCTCTATCTATCTTGTGATCCCCAAAGTGAAGCTTAGTTTTCTCGGAAAAGTGAAGTGAAAGTTTCATACTTAGTCATAGATTGGGAGTTTTGAATTTAGTTGGCCAAGATGGAGGATTTTGATGATGGACTAAGGACTTTGTCTCGAAACGTTTGTCTGAAAACCGTAGATAGTATTTCATGCTTTCAATATATATTTTTTTTTGGGATTAATTTTATTTTATTTTGTTTGCGTCTGAGCATGTTTGCATAGATGAATGTATGAGTTGTAGTAGTATCTATATTGGAGTTTTTTTTTTTTTTTTTTTTTTTTTTTTTTTTTCTTTTTGTTGAAGTCCTAATTTTCAAAAGTTATCAATATCATTAGGCTGAATGTTTTCTATGGAATTCTGTGCTGACAAAAATTCACAGTTGATCTTCAATTCCTAGGGTTTGCATAAAGTTAGATTCTATCTTTGAACCCTCATGAATTGCATCAGATATCCGGCAAATGAAAAATGTTATATGCAATCTTTTTTTTTCTCTTTATTGTTTTTTTGGCTAATTTACCCATATTTTTATATGAAAAATTTATATAAAATTATATGAGAATGACATTTTTATAATTGTGACCTATGGGGATAGACTTTTTACTTTGAGATATATAAACTTTGTTTATATAACATTACCTAAATAGGATTTTAATGAATAAATCTGCAAAAGCAATATTCATAGTAAATGCTGACAATCAAATTTGAAATTTCAAAATAAAAAGGGAAAAAAATTCCTAAAATACCATGAAAATTATCCAATTATTGAAAATAAATATCAGCATTGAAAATACTTACACAGGTGTGGGTATTTCTATAAGTATTTTGGGTTTTTTATTTTTTTATTTTTGAAAGCACTATTATTCTGAATAATAATTCAAATCTTGAACATTGTCTCTTTCTCTTTACTATTTTACCATAAAATAGACTTAAATCCGGGCCATCTTTCATGATTGTCCTCATGATTTCTCTTTTGCATGTTACAAATGTGTGCATTAAGATCACAAAGAAAACAATAGGAAAGTTATAATGAAAAATGTTATATGCAATCTTTTTTTTTCATTTTTCTTTTTTTGGCTATTATTTTTGTATCATCATTTATGTGGATATTTATTATTGATTCTTAATCATTAAGAAAATAAAAAATATAAATAATCTAATATCATGTATTCAGTTATATTGCCAACCCTCTTGTGTGTGTGTTTATGTGATTCTCCACTATAATTTCAAGAACCCCATCAACCTTTACAAAAGAGAGAAAGATATATCAAGAACCATGGTTTTTTCCTCCATCCCAGCTTATCTTGATCCATCCAATTGGCAACAAGTTAGGGTTTTTTCTTCATTATATGTTTTTCAATCCATGGCTTCTTTGCCAATAAAGCATAAAAAAAGAGAAGAAAAAAAATTATATTCCTCCCCCTTTTCTTTGTCTCCTCTTCTTTATTATTCACCATATCTTTTCTTGAATATAGCTTTCATTCTTGCGTTTTTGTTTTCGTTTTTTGTTTTGCTTTTGTTTCACAGTAGCAACAAAATCCTCAAATTGGAACTAGCACTGGAAATGGAAACCCTCATCTTCCACCACCTCCGCTGCCACCACCACCACACCAGGGTGATGGTTCGGGCTCAGTCAGGCCTGGTTCGGTGGCTGACCGGGCCAGAATGGCCAACATACCCATGCCAGCAGCTGCCCTGAAATGCCCTAGATGTGAATCAACAAACACAAAGTTTTGCTACTTCAACCACAACAGCCTCACTCAGCCTCGACACCTTTGCAAGACTTGCCGGAGGTACTGGACAAGAGCCAGTGCCCTAAGAAGCGTTCCTGTGGGCGGTGGTTGCCGAAGAAACAAGGGAAGCAAAGGAAGTAACAGCTCGAAATCTCCGGTCAGCGGTGGCGGTGGTGATGGGCAAACTAGCAGTGGTTCAACAAGTGCAATCTCATCTTGCACTAGTGTTGGCACAGCCTGTTTATTAGGTCTCACACCACAAATTCCACCACTCCGGTTCATGGCAGCTCCACTGAGTCAACTCACTGATCATCATCATCATCACTATGGGGAAATCGGGTTGAATTACAGTGGAATTTCAGCTCCTTTGGTGGTTACAAGTGACATGAGCATGAATTTCCACCTTGGAATTAGTTCACGTGGTCTCGGTGGCAGTGGTGGCAGTGGCAGTGGAATCGAGCACTGGCGGTTGCAACAACCAAATCAGATTTCCCCGATGGCGGGCTTGGACTTTCCAGGTGTTTTGTACCCATTTCAAGGTGGTGTAGAGCCCCCTGGCTATGGTGGTGAGGGTAGTTATGTCCGGCCAAAGCCACCGGGTTTAGGGTTTACTACTCATCAACTCGGTTCAGTGAAAATGGAAAACAATCAGGTTCAGGAGTTGAATTTGTCAAGGCAGTTTTTGGGAATTCCAAGAAATGACCAGTATTGGAGTGGTTCTAGTTCTGCTTGGACTGACCTTTCTGGGTTTAGCTCATCTTCCACTAGGAATCCCCTATGATTAAGTTCTCCATCTATCTTGTGATCCCCTAAGTGAAGCTTAGTTTTCTCGGAAAAGTGAAACGAAAGTTTCATACTTAGTCATAGCTTGGGAGTTTTGAATTTAGTTGGCCAAGATGGAGGATTTTGATGATGGACTAAGGACTTTGTCTCAAAAAGTTTGTCTGAAAACCCTAGATAGTATTTCATGCTTTCAATATTTTTTTTTTGGTTTAATTTTATTTTATTTTGTTTGCGTCTGAGCATGTTTACATAGATGAATGTATGAGTTGTAGTAGTTTCTATATTGGAGTTTTTTTTTTTCTTTCCTTTTTGTTGAAGTCCTAATTTTCAAAAGTGATCAATATCATTGGGCTGAATGTTTTCTATGGAATTCTGTGCTAACAAAAATTCACATTTTATCTTCAATTCCTAGGGTTTGCATAAAGTTAGATTCTATCTTTGAACCCTCATGAATTGCATCAGATATCCGGCAAATGAAAAATGTTATATGCAATCTTTTTTTTTTCTTTTTTCTTTTTTTGGCTAATTTACCCATATTTTTATATGAAAAATTTATATAAAATTATATGAGAATGACATTTTTATAATTGTGACCTATGGGGATAGACTTTTTACTTTGAGATATATAAACTTTGTTTATATAACATTACCTAAATTGGATTTTAATGAATAAATCTGCAAAAGAAATATTCATATTAAATGCTGAAATTCAAATTGGAAATTTCAAAATAAAAAGGTAAAAAAATCCTAAAATACCATGAAAATTTTCCAATTATTGAAAATAAATATCAACATTGAAAATACTTACAGAGGTGTAGGTATTTCTATAAGTATTTTGAGTTTTTTATTTTTTTATTTTTTTTTTATTTTTGAAAGCACTATTATTCTGAATAACAATTCAAATCTTGAACATTGTCTCTTTCTCTTTACTATTTTACCATAAAATAGACTTAAATCCGGGCCATCTTTCATGATTGTCCTCTTGATTTCCCTTTTGCAAGTTACAAATGTGTGCATTAAGATCACAAAGAAAACAATAGGTAAGTTATAATGAAAAATGTTAAATGCAATCTTTTTTTCTTTTTTCTTTTTTTGGCTATTATTTTTGTATCGCCATTTATGTGGATATTTATTATTGATTCTTAATCATTAAGAAAATAACAATATAAATAATCTAATATCATGTATTCAGTGATATTGCCAACCCTCTTGTGTGTGTGTTGATGTGATTCTCCACTATAATTTCAAGAACCCCATCAACCTTTACAAAAGAGAGAAAGATATATCAAGAACCATGGTTTTTTCCTCCATCCCAGCTTACCTTGATCCATCCAACTGGCAACAGGTTAGGGTTTTTTCTTCAATATAGATTTTTCAATCCATGGCTTCTTTGCCAATAAAGCACCAAAAAAGAGAAGAAAAAAAATTATATTCCTCCGCCTTTTCTTTGTCCCCTCTTCTTCATTTTTCCCCATATCTTTTCTTGAATATAACTTTCATTCTTGCTTTTTTGTTTTCGTTTTTTGTTTTGTTTTTGTTTCACAGCAGCAACAAAATCCTCAAATTGGAACTAGCACTGGAAATGGAAACCCTTATCTTCCACAACCTCCGCTGCCACCACCACCACACCAGGGTGATGGTTTGGGCTCAGTCAGGCCTGGTTCGGTGGCTGACCAGGCCTGAATGGCCAACATACCCATGCCAGAAGCTACCCCAAAATGCCCGAGATCTGAATCAACAAACACAAGGTTTTGCTACTTCAACAACTACAGCCTCACTTAGCCTCGGCACTTTTCCAAGACTTGTCGGAGGTACTGGACGAGAGGCGGTGCTCTGAGAAGCATTCCTGTGGGGCGGGGTTGCAGGAGAAACAAGAGAAGCAGAGGAAGTAACAGCTTGAAATCTCCGGTCAGCAGTGGCGGTGGTGATGGGCAAACTAGCAGTGATTCAACAAGTGCAATCTCATCTTCTACTAGTGTTGGAACAGCCAGTTTATTAGGTCTCACACCACGAATTACACCACTCCGATTCATGGCAGCTCCACTGAGTCAACTCACTGATCATCATCATCATCACTATGGCGAAATCGGGTTGAATTATAGTGGAATTTCCGCTCCTTTGTTGGTTACAAGTGACATGAACATGAATTTCCACCTTGGAAGTAGTTCACTTGGTCTCGGTGGCGGTGGTGGCGGTGGCAGTAGAACTGAGCACTGGCGGTTGCAACAGCCAACTCAGATTTCCCCGATGGCGGGCTTGGATTTTCTGGGAGCTTTGTACCCATTTCAAGGTGGTGTAGAGCCCTCTGGCTATGGTGGTGAGGGTAGTCCGGTCCGGTCAAAGCCGCCGGGTGTAGTGTTTACTACTCATCAACTTGGTTCAGTGAAAATGGAAGACAATCAGGTTCAAGAGTTGAATTTGTCAAGGCAGTTTTTGGGAATTTCCAAGAAATAACTAGTATTGGAGTGGTTCTAGTTCTGCTTGGACTGACCTTTCTGGGTTTAGCTCATCTTCCACTAGGAATCCCCTATGATGAAGTTCTCTATCTATCTTGTGATCCCCAAAGTGAAGCTTAGTTTTCTCAGAAAAGTGAAATGAAAGTTTCATACTTGGTTATAGCTTGGGAGTTTTGAATTTAGTTGGCCAAGATTGAGGATTTTGATGATGGACTAAGGACTTTGTCCCAAAAAGTTTGTCTGAAAACCCTAGATAGTATTTCATGCTTTCAATATTTTTTTTGGGTTTAATTTTATTTTATTTTGTTTGCGCCTGAGCATGTTTACATAGATGAATGTATGAGTTGTAGTAGTTTCTATATTGGAGTTTTTTTTTTTTTCTTTTTGTTGAAGTCCGAATTTTCAAAAGTAATCAATTTCATTGGGCTGAATGTTTTCTATGGAATTCGGTTCTGACAAAAATTCACAATTGATCTTTAATTCCTAGGGCTCTCATAAAGTTAGATTCTATCTTTGAACCCTCATGGATTGCATCAGATATCCGGCAAATGAAAAATGTTATATGCAATCTTTTTTTTTTCTTTTTTCTTTTTTTGGCTAATTTACCCATATTTTTATATGAAAAATTTATATAAAATTATATGAGAATGACATTTTTATATTTGTGACCTATGGGGATAGACTTTTCACTTTAAGACATATAAACTTTGTTAATATAACATTTCCTGAATAGGATTTTAATGAATAAATCTGTAAAAGCAATATTCACAGTAAATGCTGACATTCAAATTGGAAATTTCAAAATAAAAAGGGAAAAAAAATCCTAAAATACCATGAAAATTATCCAATTATTGAAAATAAATATCAGCATTGAAAATACTTACAGAGGTGTAGGTATTTCTATAAGTATTTTCAGTTTTTTATTTTTTTATTTTTTAAAGCACTATTATTCTGAATAATAATTCAAATCTTGAACATTGTCTCTTTCTCTTTAATATTTTACCATAAAATAGACTTTAATCCGGGCCATCTTTCATGATTGTCCTCTTGATTTCTCTTTTGCAAGTTACAAATGTGTGCATTAAGATCACAAAGAAAACAATAGGTAAGTTATAATGAAAAATGTTAAATGCAATCTTTTTTTTCTTTTTTCTTTTTTTGGCTATTATTTTTCTATCACCATTTATGTGGATATTTATTATTGATTCTTAATCATTAAGAAAATAACAATATAAATAATCTAATATCATGTATTCAGTGATATTGCCAACCCTCTTGTGTGTGTGTTGATGTGATTCTCCATTATAATTTCAAGAACCCCATCAACCTATACAAAAGAGAGAAAGATATATCAAGAACCATGGTTTTTTCCTCCATCCCAGCTTATCTTGATCCATCCAACTGGCAACAGGTTAGGGCTTTTTCTTCAATATATGTTTTTCAATCCATGGCTTCTTTGCCAATAAAGCATCAAAAAAGAGAAGAAAAAAAATTATATTCCTCCCCCTTTTCTTTGTCTCCTCTTCTTTATTATTCACCATATCTTTTCTTGAATATAGCTTTCACTCTTGCTTTTTTGTTTTCGTTTTTTGTTTTTTTTTTGTTTCAGAGCAGCAACAAAATCCTCAAATTGGAACTAACACTGGAAATGGAAACCCTCATCTTCCACTACCTCCGCTGCCACCAAAACCACACCAGGGTGATGGTTCGGTCTCAGTCAGGCCTGGTTCGGTGGCTGACCGGGCCTGAATGGCCAACATACCCATGCCAGCAGCTGCCCTGAAATGCCCTAGATGTGAATCAACAAACACAAAGTTTTGCTAGTTCAACCACTACAGCCTCACTCAGCCTCGGCACTTTTGCAAGACTTGCCGGAGGTACTGGACGAGAGGCAGTGCCCTAAGAAGCATTCCTGTGGGCGGTGGTTGCCGGAGAAACAAGGGAAGCAAAGGAAGTAACAGCTTGAAATCTCCGGTCAGCGGTGGCGGTGGTGATGGGCAAACTAGCAGTGGTTCAACAAGTGCAATCTCATCTTCTACTAGTGTTGGAACATCCTGTTTATTAGGTCTCACACCACACCACTCCGGTTCATGGAAGCTCCACTGAGTCAACTCACTGATCATCATCATCATCACTACGGCAAAATCGGGTTGAATTACAGTGGAATTTCAGCTCCTTTGGTGGTTACAAGTGACATGAACATGAATTTCCACCTTGGAAGTAGTTCCCTTGGTCTCGGTGGCGGTGGTGGCGGTGGCAGTGGAATCGAGCACTGGCGGTTGCTACAACCAACTCAGATTTCCACGATGGCGGGCTTGGATTTTTCGGGTGTTTTGTACCCATTTCAAGGTGGTGTAGAGCCCTCTGGCTATGGTGGTGAGGGTAGTCAGGTCCGGCCAAAGCCGCCGGGTTTAGGGTTTACTACTTATCAACTCGGTTCAGTGAAAATGAAAGACAATCAGGTTCAAGAGTTGAATTTGTCAGGGCAGTTTTTGGGAATTCCAGGAAATGACCAGTATTGGAGTGGTTCTAGTTCTGCTTGGACTGACCTTTCTGGGTTTAGCTCATTTTCCACTAGGAATCCCCTATGATTAAGTTCTCTATCTATCTTCTGATCCCCAAAGTGAAGTTTAGTTTTCTCGGAAAGTGAAATGAAAGTTTCATACTTAGTCATTGCTTGGGAGTTTTGAATTTAGTTGGCCAAGATGGAGGATTTTGATGATGGACTAAGGACTTTGTCTCAAAAAGTTTCTCTGAAAACCCTAGATAGTATTTCATGCTTTCAATATTTTTTTTTGGGTTTAATTTTATTTTATTTTGTTTGTGTCTGAGCATGTTTACATAGATGAATGTATGAGTTGTAGTAGTTTCTATATTGGAGTTTTTATTT